CTATAGCCTTACCATCGTGAAAAAGGTAATTTTTTTTGTCATGTTGGTCAAATATTGAAAAATGTTCATGAAACGTTTTGTTTTCTGCATGTGCCTCTTGAAATTAAAGCATTTTGAAAAAAAGATTTGCAAAAGAAAGTTTGGTAGAGAAAATTTTGCAAAAGAAATCTGAAAAACAAAATTTCCTAAATTCCTTTCAAAATGCTCTACTTTAATGAAAAAATGCAGAAATAAGAAAACTTTGAAATTTGTTTTTTCAAAATCTGAAATTCAGAATTTGCTGAAAAATTCCAAAAAAAGTTTCTAAAAAAAAGTCTCAAAATGCTCTAATTTGTTTTTTTCAACATTTGACCAACATGACATGCAGAATTAGGATTTTGCTGAAAATATCTGAAAGAAATTTCCAAAAAAAAAAATTCTCAAAATGCTCTAATTTAGTGAGAAACACCAAAAAGGTAAAATTTGGGGGGGGGGGATTTTAAGTTTAATTCTGTCCATTTAACAGTTACAGCTGGAGAGTCGTTGCTCCAATATCACCAATGTTAAAGTGATATAAAAAAATAACATGACAAAAAAAGATTTAAATTCAAATTTTCAGGACTCTTTTATTTGAGTTACAAAATATGAAGTGCCATCAGCAGACTCCACAGGAGAGTTTGCCAACCTTCTTGAGTTACAAGTATTTACACCCAAAAGTCACGGATATCCATCTAAACGTCCATATAGCGGTCTGGTCTGTGTCCCAGAGTACAAGTCCATCGTGTCAGAGTTCCATGGAGAAATTTTAAATATTTAAAATATTTACAAAGTCTAATATTCAAAAACTCTCCCATTTCAATCTGTAGCTTGCAAAGACAGAACTCAGTCAGAGGTGTATCTGCGTCAGTAGTGTGAGAGTCGAGCAGAGCTGGTGGAATTAAAGGAGCTGTTAAATGATTGTGGTCCACTACAGGGTCTCCGTATTTTACAGAATAAGGCTCCGTCTTCTAAAGAACGCCTGGGATGAGGAGGTCTGTACAGAGATATTTAAAAATCACATACTGAAATGTCTTTGTAGCCACAGTGGCAACACAACCTCCATGAAAAAAAAATCTGTGTGAAAAGCAATAAAAGATGAGAAGAAAGGCCACCCAGAAAATTATTCTTGCTCCATAAACTCCCTGTTTCCTCAAATCATCTTTGAAAATGACCTCCAATAAATAGAAACACAGCAGAGAAATGGTCAAATAAGACTGGTTCTGGTTTAGTCCATCCCTGAGTTTTTTGGAGAAGGACAAAAAGACTAGATGGGAGTGACAAAAAAAAAGGACCGACGGGACTGAGAAAAAAAAAAAAAAAAAAAGAAGAAGAAAGAAAAAAAAAGTATAATTACATAAATCCTGCACGTTGCCAATGCATCCAAGAGAAGGGGTGAAAAATAATAATTAAAAGGTACTCCTCTGGTTTCCTGAGGCTCATCAGCAATTCAGTCTTTCCAAGCAGCGGAGGTTACACAGATGTGATGACAATCATGAGGTGGGGAGAGATGCTGGAGATCCTGTTGAGGAGATCGGGCGCGAGCTGTGACAAGTGGCTCTCTGAAAAGTCACACGGCGGGAAAATCTGTAGAACGTACGCTGGCTGAGGAACAAATAAGAAGAAGAAGAAAGAAAAAAAAAAGAGGATTAGGAATTTAAAAGTACAGATGGTTATTCAGCTTTAAAAGGTAAAACGCTGGTGAAGCCATTAAGATGAAAGGGTTACACTGTGATAATACATGATGTCTCACCTGATTTGAACCTGGGTTTGGGATGTTGATGATACCTGCAGCCAACTTTGACTGCAGGTAGTTGATAAAAGCAGCCTTGAGAGCTTGAGTTTGGTTGAGGACATCGTCTTGATCTCGTCCACACGGCAATGCAAGGAGAAGACAGAAGTCGGTGTCACCCTGGGAATAAGAAGAAAAAGAAGGCGAAAAAAAAAGATCAAGTTTAATACAAATATCAAACTGATGATTCTGGTTCATTTAAAAATAATAAAAAAAGGAACCTACAGTCATTCTTCTGGCTACGTTTTCCAGTTGTGAAGCCTCTAATCTCATTCTCTGCACTATCCTGAGCAGAGCCCCGCCTTCTTGTAAAGGCAGTGATCGATGAGCCAGAGTTTTGTTACCACAGACAAAATGTAACTGGACTGCAGCTGTGTCATTCTTTAGTGCCAGCAGGCCTTGCCACACAATGGGGTATTTCTGTTTAAATGTGGGACAAACAAAGGGAGAGCTTGTCAAACAAAAGCCGGTTTTTGTTCAGACTTGGGAGAAAAAAAAAAAAGTGACAACTATTTGTCTTACCGTGAGCAGCTGCACCATATTTACAGGCTGTGCAATTTTGCTCTCTGGTTTTCCCTGCAGGTCAGAACCCTAAGGATTAAAAAAAATGACAGGCATAAGAATTGAACCTTTAAAATTGGTGGATCTTAAAAAGCCAGATCACATCTAGTCATCAACGTGAAATAACCTGATACCATAACGCCAATCGACTTACCATACTTGGTGTGATGTTGAGTTGTGGTTGGTTAGTCCCAACAGCAGATGCATCTGATATCTGGTTATGGATGCCTCTTGGATTTGTGTACATCCCAGAATACTCTGCGAATGAACCTGAAGGTCCTGACTGCATCAGCTGAACCCTCTGTGGAGATGCCATTGCCTGACCAGCTTGTCGGATACCCAGGATTCCATCTTTAGGAAGAGGGGAGTGAGGTCTCTTTGGGTCTAGAGGCTTCATCAAATCCTTCTCTGAAACACCTTTGGTCAAAACATGAGGTCTTGGTGACACGGGGGGAAGAGCTTCTGAAATGTGTGCAGGATGTGAATCTGTAGCCGAACGCTCGCCCTGTTGGTGCAACAGAACGCGCATGTCTCTCTGTGCCATGTAGAACGGCCCGCAAGGATCTGACTGAACACTCTCGGTCTTAATCTGCGTGGCCGATTGTCTTCCTGCCAGGTGGAAGTGCCTGGCTTCCTCCTGCTCTCCCTCATGACTTCTTAGAGAACCCGGGTTCACCTTTAGAACCTTGTCTCTGCCCACAGCCTGAGGCGAGGTAGGCCGAGGCTGCATGGCCCCAGACCAGGCAAGAGGCTCGCTGTGCATCCCGTAGTTCATCACAGACAGAGGAGGGGTGTTGACCCTGACATCTCCCTGGACAAGATGGGCCACTGGAATTGATTGCGTTACACAGTGAGGAGACATCCGTCCCAAGGCACTTGGCACACTGTGAGGAGGCATGATGACAGACTGCTCTGCATGGTGTACGCCGGTGATAAACTGTTGCATGGCCGGGTGGCCCGTGGGTAACATGACTGGGATGCCTTTGGGTGACGAGGAGCCAATGGGTGACGACACTTTAGTGAACTGAGAATGCGTATGCCCGGACTTGCGTGGAGAGCGTGGTTCCTGTTTGGCACCGCTGAGGTGTGAAGGCCCTCTATCTCCAGGAGTTGCAACAAAACCCACATGGTTCCCTGGTGGAGAGGGCAAATGGGGGCTGATGGCTGGACTGATGGCAGACCAGGGTGGCTTGGGTCCGTCTGTGCCGTGAGGGTCAGAGCTATCCATCTTCTTTTGATGTTTTAATGACATAAAATCTTGATGGTAAGTCAACACTTGTTGGTTGCCCGGTGTGAGGCGCTTTACTACCCCTTGGGATCCAGACTGATAATTGGATTCCATCTTTTCCAAACTACTGCTTTCTTGTTTGTTGGACAAAACTGACTGGGGTTTCCCAGGATGCCCGTGCTCTGTCTGCATTGACGAGCCCTTCTGGGAATGACCGTACATGTCCTGTTTGATCTGGGGCATGGCTACCAACTGCTGGGACTCAATATCACCGGGTGTTGCTTGTGGGATCTGACTTATTTTAGCACTTATTCGCTGGGGTCCCTCTGTTTTCTGACCCGAGTGGCTCAGTACAACAACTCCTTCGGATGTATTGACCCTCAGTCCGGAGCAGGATCCTACACCAATACTGGGGCTGTCGACGATGAAACGTGGACCGCTGACTCCCTCATCACCAACAGATGAGCCAAGGTACGATCCAGTATCTTCTTTGCTGGGCCTATAGTTAGTTTTAGGCATAGGAAGATCCATGCAGGGATTTGCGACGTTGACCTTGTCCTCAGGCTCTGGAGGGTTACAAACTCGGCTGATCACTGAAGTTCCAGTAGATGCGATAACAGAGATCACGGACTTTGATTCAGGCGATGGCAGCGTGGCTGGTGGACGAACGATGGATGGTGTTGGATGAGTAGGCATTCGGGTGTCAGATAGTGGTGACCTGTTTGGCAAAATGGTTGGTGTGGTATTTTTCTCACATGGGATTTGTTCTTGAAGGGGGGGCTGATTGGTAGGAACAGAACTGCTGCTGGGTAATGAAACATTCTTGTGTTTCAGGAGTATCTGTCTCAAGTCACTTGTGTTATGCTCCGGTTCCATTTTTTCAGGATCTGGGGTTAAAGGCTGAGTCTCCTTGGTTGTCAGTGACACAACATATGACGAGGGGATAACTCCTTCTTTGGACTGG